TTTGGATTACACCTTGCTGATACAGTGACTGCTTTGGATTACACCTTGCTGATACAGTGACTCATTGCTTGTCAAACATATAGCGGGAAAATGTGATAATGATTCATATTCAAAAATTCAATCTACGTAATATTAAAGTGAGCATGACCTTGAAAAGCACTATAGTGACCCCTAAACTAATGAATCCATGGTATAGGATAATGACCTGAGTGAATGATATCCTTAAAGCAATTAAAGGTCTGTTTCTCTTTTGTTTTCTGTATTTGACATATTGGTTATTTACAATTTCTATAATGATTCAATCTGGAAATAATGAGAATTGATTTTTTTTCTCTGAAGGAAAGCCCCTGATCATTATAAGAGTGTATTTGAATGCTATATGTCAAGTCAGCTGGAATCTACCCCTGGTATAGTGAGGGCCAGTCCAGCCATCCTGGAAAACATCAATCCAGTAAACAAACTCAAGTTCAGCACTCTCATTCCAAGAAACTTTTCGCTTCTCATGCAACTTACAACACTGCACCCTAGGGGTAATTCTTTCCAGTTTAATTTCACAATCACAATAAGTCGTTGAGATAAACAGTCTGTGTGCAAGAGAAGCACAATGCAGATGCTATTTAAACACACCTACTACAGATTTCAGTTTAAAACTGGAGCCAGTGGGAAGTTCTCACTGATGCGGTCACTGCATCACTGCAACAGTGAGACACTCAAGACAAGTCTGTACCCCCCAGCTGTCTGTACACTAAGTGAGGACTCCTAGTAGCTAACATGCTATTTTAAGCACTTTATACCTCATTTTATGGACAACTGGGTATATAAAATGGATGGATGAATGGATGGATGGATTAATGGATTCCATTGCTTTTCATTTTATTCTGTGGTTAGATTCATTCAATCATATTATTTATTTTTAACTACCTTTTTATACACTAATGTGCAAAAGTCTTAGGCAGTCACAGAAAAATGATGCTTAAATGTTACTGTAAAACTATGACATTATGCCTGTCAAAGTGCATCAGCTTAGCCATTTGAAAACCTCTCCGGGAAACACCACAGTATTTGCATAACCGGCCCAGAACACCATGTATTTTTTGACTCAGCCACTATCCCACGTGGTGTGCAGCCACTATCCCACGTGGTGTGGCTAACCAATACCCCAGGATTGGTTTGGGAAGCTGTAGAATAGATGAAATTCTTCTTTACCTTTGTTACCGTTAATTTGCACATGTTATAATGTTAAATTGTTTATTATTATTATTATAAAATATATTATTACTCCCAAGATGAACAGCCTTAAAATTTTCTTTCACTGTCTAAGGCTTTTGCACAGTACTGTATTTGTATGCTGTGTCAGTTCCTCCGACTTTATCTCTCCTAGGAACGCATCTAAGACAGCTGTGGTTGCCAATTAAGATGTATAACACGGGGCAGGCGCCAACTAATTGCAGCCAATAGTTTCTACACCGCTAATTATAAGATCATTTCATCTTTAAATCAACAGTATATCAGAGATGTTTAAATACTTGTGAACTTCTGAACCAGATTTATCCAGAGTACATTGAGCTGTAGTTATGTATTTTGCATATTGGTATAATAATATCATAATAGCATATGCTGTCTGACGACAGCTTGATATTTATTTAGAATAACAAAGCATTATTTCTGGTTAAACCTTCCATGATTCGTAATAAATCATTATTTGCGGTTACTTTATAGGCTACCAGTCGTTATATTTGTTTCTTTATATGTGAATCAGACACGGTTGACCCAGCCTAAGCCGTTCTGCTGGTCTGGTGGCCCACGCAGGTCTCAAACAGCAGCTGGGAATTTTATGTTAAGCGTATAAGTGTAAACAAACTGACTTTTAAAATCTAAAAGTTCACTAAAGATCATTTATGACTTATTCGAAAAATCGGTTCAAATTTGGAATTTTCTACCAAAAATGTGAAGTGAATTTAATTAAGATAATAAGCAAAGGTATTATAATTTGTTATGCACCTCATCGTTTATTACTGTTTTATTTGTGTGGTGAAAATAAACAGTCTACAATTATAACAAATGTTAAATCCTAGTTAATGAATTCTCCCTCCAGAAAAATACGGTTTAATGTGTTGTTTTAGTTGTCCCTCATTCGCAATAATCTGTACGGTGTAATTAGAAGGTTGGCGTTGCTGATTTAAACCTGCAATTTGCATAATTTAACAAGATTCTCTGTAGAGGGCAGCATAAACGATCTACGAAATCTGAGTTTGCGAACATATTGCATTTTTAACGTAGGTAAAATTGCATGCGCCATTTTACAATGCTCCTATATTTACGTATAGGAGTTTGTAGCTTTCTTTTGTTAAAAGGAAAAAGAAAAGTCAAATTCAACGAAATAATTGAAAAACAATAAACACATTCTGAAGAGGACGGTATCAATAATGCGATTGACGACAGCCACCCACACCCCCGGGTCTCACTATTTTTCAAACCCTGTACGATTCTTTTCCGAATGAATGATCAAATAAATAGCCTAACGCACCGATTCAAATTTATTTGAAGACATCAATTCATAGCAGAAATTTTACGCAGTAAAAGTGTAGATTACCATACTTACAAGCAGAAATAGGTGGCGTCTCATAATGCATTTTAAAATGTAGGCCTATTTAAAAATGAATGTACGCAAATGGAATACTGCGAAACTTATTGGTAGGCTACTACGAATTAGCATAAATATCGGGGATTTAAGTAAAAGCTTTATTAACAGTGAAATTACAGCACCATGGAGAGCGGCAGAGTGAGGACCCCCCCCCCCCCCCC